ACTCACTTCTTCGACTACTAACCATTAACATGTTTACTAAATGATGACAGTGTTCCTCTCCGATTTTTATCTGCGCCTTTTAACCTCTCGATTGACTTCTCCTTCCCAGCTCGATGCAAACTAACTATTCCTTTCAAAACCGACATCACACGCACAATGAATACAGAAACTGAATATCCTAAATCTACTGACTGTAAACTCATCTAGCGCTCGAAAAGCAGACACTTCCGGTTCACAGAATATGACTGCGGGACCTGAGCAAGGTGTTTTCGGTACCTGAATAAAAAGTGTGACTGTCGTAAACGCAAAAGCCTAAAGAAAAGACAAACGTAATGTTTTTTTTTGTTGACTCTTTCAAAATGACACATCCTAGTTAGGATAAACTTTACGGTTAATTTTTTTTAACGAATAACATTAAAATTTGCCAATTTTTGCTCCTAACGCCCAATTTGTTTTTGTTTTTGGCCGTTTTGCAGCAAACGGTTAACCCTAACGAGCCCTCTTAGAACTGGAAATAAATTACTACAGGGGTTTGAACTTGACTTCTTATGAACCTTGTTTAAACTCTTAGTCTTACCAGCGATATACAACTCGGTTTAATATTTTTTGTGTAAATTAACCTGAAACCCCAAGAGTGACCAGCAGGTAATTCTCTTTTTAGTAATGTTGCCGAATTACTCATTAAGATCATGACAATAAAGGAAATGATCACCAGCTTGAAGCCAACCCAAATCTGATTTTTCCAAAATTTCTGTCATTTGACCCCTATGAGTGACGAAAATTTAATTTCAACATTCAAAGTCTCCTCTGAATCATGCATCAAGTTCAGGAAAACAAAGGAAATGATTGTCAAACTATGACGATTTGATGGTCAAACAGATTCTTCTCGTCAATATTTTGAAGGAAAAGTATAACAAAGAGTACGGAGAATATGGACTCTGATGATAGGGTGCAAAAAGTCAAATACTAAAAAGACGAGGTTATCATATTCCAGGCAACCCAACCAAAGTGGGCAACTCTCTTACCACTGCAAAGTAAATAAAGTCTAAAGTCTACAAGCCTACACGTTCGTTTTCCTTCTATAAAATGGTGTAAGCTAAACTTAACCTTTCCACTCCTGAGATCTACATTTTTAATTCTCCTCAATACCTGCTACACATTTCAAACAGTTGTAGCAATGAGAATCTGGTGTTAAATCAGAAAATTTCTGCTACTTGATAGGTTTCTTTCTTCTCAATACCTTCTTACCCAAACTGTTTTTGAATCGCATGGAGAAACTCCATTTTGGCCACTGCTGATAGTGAAAAGGTCAGAAGTTTGTATTACCAGCGACTCTATAAGAGGCCATAATAGTTTACTGCATTGACTACTTTATTTTTTCCTTAATAACAAAGTTTTGCTCTGTAGGTGATGTATTACCATTAGGGTGCAATTGCAAATGTGTTATTATTGAATTATTGAATAAAAAATAAAATAAAAAAAAATTTTAAAAATTCGCTATCTTTTTTTGAAAGGGATTCTCTGGTAACTTACAGTTTACAAATTATCCCTGTCTAAATGTATAAAGAATGGTATGGAGAATATGCTGATGTTACGGTGTAAGAGGTTCAGGGGTTTTCAACGAAGACAGTGTAGCTTTGTTTCGTACCCAGACCTTCCAAATTCACAGCAGTTTCAACCGTTATCTCTCAAAGTCTCGTTAGAAAATCGGATGCTTAAAATTGCGCTGGCCAATAAATTTCGCCTTAAAAGCTTCTCCATCGACTAAAACCAGATTGGAAAGGACACTCATTGCAAAGCCGATAGTAATTAGACGCTAATTCAAGTACCTATTCGCGTATTTCTTTTTGCAATGCAGATCATTGACATATCAGATACCTGGCCTCTACGACGATTAAAAAAATACTCAGAATGCTTTTACTACCTGAGTAAATACATATTTTGCACGCTTTGTCGACATTCTCAGGCAAACGAAAGCTAACAATCGTTTACCGTAGAGAATTGCTAATACTTGGGGAAACCCTCCGATTTTCAACTAACCATACTGGACCTTGTCTCGTACTCAGACCTTTCCCGGCCAAGCGGTTGTAATTAACACTTACACGGTAATTCGGCACTCTTAATCCCATTGGTATCAACGAACGCTTTTCATTCCACTAATTTATTCGTGTTTTTCTCGTCAGCATGTTCCATTCAATAGCGTAGCTCTGCTTTCTGCATATAAACCCACACACGACCCATAATTCCTCTATTCGCTCTGACGAAGGGCTAACGCTCGAAACGTCAGCTTTTAACTCTTTACGGCGGCCAATTTACAATTTCAACCTAGTTGATATAAGCAAACCACTTGATTGGCCAGGCTCGTGTGAAAGTCTTTGTTATTATCTACAAAACACCACATTGAAACTGCCTTAATATGCATAATTTTACATTAACAACAGAAACATCAAAGCGAAATTTTTCTCGCCTCACCACAGAATTGAACTAGAGGAACAACTGAAGAAGTCGTCAAGACGATTGTATCAGTCGTGCTCCTCCCATAGGTATTGAGATCAAGTTGATGCAGACAGGAGAGACAAGTTTTATCGCTGGTTCGCTAAACTCGCTAACTCAAGAAATAAAACCCGTTAATTTATTTTTATCGTCAGGCCAACCATCCCCACCAAGACGGTGAAATCTTTGTTCCGTATGCAAACGAGGCCCAACTAACGCTTTCCCGGAAGTGCGAAATCGCAGCATGTAAAATAAAAGGCGGTGCCTTGTTAGAGCCCTTAAACTCCAAATATCGTCTTCGTAATTTTCTTCTCTAGCTGCGGTACACTTCGCTGTAAAGGAGCGGCAAAGAATTGAGAGTTACACAGCGGTACACAAAAAGGCACTGCTAAACTAATAAGTTTAAGGACTCTCGTCACCTTTTTATGGGACTGATAACATTTCGAAAATTTTATGAAAAGTTAAAAGTTATTCATTTTATAGAAACGGTTACATGAGTAAACTGCGAACCAGTTTCTAATTCTTAAATCTAAATGCAAAATATGGATTAATTATTGAAAGCTACCTGAAAACGCGCGGACAATACTTGGATCTAGACTAAATTGCAGAGACAAACTCAGGAGTTTTTTTTATAGCCTCACGAAATTGAAGCGCTGGTGCGGCAGATGTTATTCTTGATGAAATGACTTTGAAACGATGACGACTTCTTCGGGAAGTTTTTGAAAAACGATTCCCCTGCTATATTTGAGGATAGTTTAGGAAATTTCCACTAATAAAGATTAACACGGTTAAATAATAATTGACGTTTGTGTGTGGCCGTGATGCCCACAATCATCAAAACATAATGACTTGTAAGAGCTGTAGCCTGTAGAGGATTGTATTAAATGGTTTTAAAAGCAACGTTTGGGCATCTGTAAGACGTCATGAGGAACCAGGAGTGAAATTGGAAAAATGAAGTCAGCTTGCCATTGGCCGTGCGCGTGTTAAAGTCTTTGCTGTTGTCTGCGAAGCATAGCGTAGTTTCATATTGAGAACGGAAGCACCAACGGCAATTTTTCATGTTTCGAAATTTCGCTCAATTCGTCTCAATGTTGCCTACACAATCCAAAAAAAGGAGAGTTTTTACCCTGATGTTTAGCATTCAAACACAATTTTATATTCTCACGACATGTGCTATTGAGGTAATTATTAGTTAACTTTTTAACAACTACCTTCATTTGCATTTTTAAAAATGTTGAATAAAATTGTTCAGTAGCGATAGTTTTCAGGCTATTTAGATAAGAGATGATTGCCGGATTGGCGAGCACCAATGGGAAAACAAATTCGTAAAACCTCGTGTACGTGTCTCCTGGGCAGATGTCTCGATTATAACATGGCGTCTTCAGATGAAGAATCTTACTGTAAACTGCCCCACGGATTGCCTGGTGAAATCGTTACCATGGTTTTGTACACTTCGTTCACTATCATCGGATCGTCAGGAAACATGTTCGTGATTCTTGCCATTAACCGGACTCCAGCTTTGAGGAACGTGTGCGGAATCTTCATAGCAAATGTGGCAGTAGCTGATCTGATGGTGACAGCAGTAGTAATGCCTTTAGTCGTGTATATCCATATTCAGGGGTTTTTGGATAAGTGCATTTTCCTTTCTCCGGTTTTTGCTGCCTGGATAATAGCACTTTTCTCTGCCAGTTCCTCGCTACTGACGCTGACTGCCCTCAGTGTGGATCGGTGCTTTGCCATCTGTCGTCCGATGAGACACAAAACAATTGTGACTAAAACAAAGGTAAAGATAGTCATGGCAATAATATGGATAGATTCTTTGACCCTTCCTCTTTTAGAAATCTTCCACCGTGGATCAGCTCTCGCAAAGTTTCTTCAAACCATTGGTTTAGGGTGCTGCTATTCCATCATAGTCGTGGGCGGTATTTTTACGGTCAGGCATGTGCGCGTGAATTCACGACAAATGGTATCACTACATCAGGATCAAGGAGCTTCTCGCCTCACTGCAGAATTGAACCAGAGGAACAAACAAGTCGCTAAGACGATTGCACTTGTTGTGTTCGTCTTTACCTTGTGTTGGATCCCAATCGCGTATCTTACTGGTATTGAGATCAATGAAGCCAGGAACGTCACAGTATATTTCTGGTTCGCCACAGTAGGACTAGCTAACTCAATAGTAAACCCATTGATTTACTTCTATCGGCAGCCAAACTACCGTAAAGCGCTCAAATCTTTACTTGGATGTAAACAAGGCGCATCTAATGGTGTCGCGCCATTGCCGCGGCAAAAACACAGTGCGACCTAAATGAATAAGAGAAGACTTGAAGGAAATAGAAATTATTCCCTGGAAAGTGCGCACGAACGATTTTCATCCAAGAGGTGCGATGCACCGAAAAAAAAAAAGAAAAAAAAAAACCAACGGGTATGTGCGGCAAAAAAGTTTTTATTTCGTTCACTTTAGTGAGATTTTTTCCTATTGACCAGCAAATTTCAAAGATTGCAAGCAAACGACTGTGAAAATACTTCGTTCGTCCAATCAGAGCATAGTTAATCGATTAACTATGATCAACGACACGAACGATAGTATTTCACAGTGCAAATCGCAGTATGTATAACGGCGCCTGATTGAACCCTCTAACTTCTAAGATAGTCTTCGCACTTCTTCCCCCCTGGTTGCAATACATCTTATTGTAAACAAGGTCAGAGAGTGAGAGTTGTCCTAAGGTAACAGCTCCTTAGAATAGACAAGTTTTGGGACTCTCATTAATTTTTTGCGAGATATTTTGAAAGTGTTTAGGAAAGTAACGAGTTATTAACTCGAGAGGTAAAGCTTACAGAACCAGTTATCTGAGAAGACTTGCCAATTTCTAACGGGCGACTAATTTCTAAAGTGTAACTGCTTTTACGAATCAACTTTTGACAGCTACCTAATAAAAATCAATGGTAATACAGTTGAACTTCCCTTTGCGACCGCCTCTCGTTAGTGACAACTTTTTCAAAATATCAAAAGTTTCCAACTGAAATCAATTCACTATGAATGGAACCTCTCGTAAGCGACGACCTCGCATTCTAAGTGACCACCCACTTTTAGAGATGCTTGGTAGCAACTTTCAATTGTTTTTAACCTCTCGCAGGAGGCCACATGACAGACAATGGGCTTTATCTCTCATGAGCGGCAACTGAAAATTGTTTCAACGGACGTCGTAAAAGTGAAACCATCGGAGGTGTTTCCTGAAATAGCTTTACCGCGTGAATTTTTACTTGTTTTCCCTTCTGGGAAAAATTTGAACAACACCACTTGGAATAAAAAATTAGCCAAATTTCTTTTGCGTGAATTGTCCCAAACGCGCTGTCTTAAAAAAAAATTGTGAGATGCAAAATAATTACCATAGATCCTAACTTTTTTTAAATAATAATAGTAATAATAATAATAATAATAACAGTCACTATACAGGGGTTCACGTATCTGAAAAGTGGTAATCTGTGAGGCCCTGTAAACTGAAATAAAATTCATCACAATTAAA